TGAGTTTTATAATCATTAAAATAGATGAAAAGAGAAGAGTTGCGGTAAAATAATGAATAAAAAGGAAGTGGTCAAGTAAATAAATAAATTTTAAAAATTGTGACTGCTGAGAGCAAAAGATTCTGGAACTACGGACACCGGCCCTCGCGGCCAAAAAACGGACCGGCCCACCGGGAATTCTCCCGGTCCTCCCGATTAGCCAATCCGGGCCTGCTCGCAAACAACAGACTGAAGACCCTAGCACATGTGTACTCTCAAGCTGCATCTGAAATCACATACTTCCATTCTATATAGAACGCTAAATGAGTATGCGAGCCGAGTAGAATCAAATCATGCAAACAAAGCATTTTGGGGTGAGCAAAACCATCAGAAACTACCTTTCAGTTCCTTTCTGTATTCATTTATGATTTAATTAGTGTTTTGGTATAATTTGAAAACCATTTACTCACCAAGATTAGGTTTTGTAAACGTGTTTTTGTGGAGGAACCTTTTTTGAAACCACTGCAGCTGTAGCACTTTAACATGTTTTGGGTAGGATTGTTTGTTGATCTTCCACCAGCCAAGAACATCCATTCCATTTTCCATGACTTCCCACTCAGCAAATTCGCTCTTTTTGACTTCTCCATCTTCATTTGTTTCACCTTTGCAGGGATGAATTTTGATGTTGTAACAAACAATTTGATTACTTTCTCGTTATGACTAATTTAATTTTTAAATTTTACCACATTTTATAAAACAATAAACACTTGTTTGATGCTATAGTACACATTTTTACCTGCAGTTTTTCCCAATCTGTTTGTAAAAAAAAAAGCTTTGTTGCACAATTTGATTAATATCCTCATATCCAAATGCTTTATAAATAACATTTATTATAAAATAATAAAATTATAACATACTCCGTTGTTTATTGTTTTTAGAAAAATATATATTTTTTTCAAAGTGTAGATTTTTTCCTTTGTAGATTTAAAATTCAAAATGGCTTAAAAAAACTTTAATTCATTTATATTATACTGTATATTCGTAAATCTTTATAGCTTCAGTTTGTTTTATATTGGTTATTTAATGTTTTTTATTATATCCAATATTTGTGTATCTTTAAATGATGTCAATATACCTTAGAACATTTTATCTAGATCTATGAAATTGTGTTGAGCCCTCAAATAGGACAAGTAATTTGTAAAGTTTTATGTCTTTCTGTGTAACAAATATCTATACATTATCTCAAAATAAAAAAAAAATCCAGCCACTCAAGGCATCGACGGAGCTGAAACGAGCGCTCTCGCACACAAATACTGTACATGCACCTAAACACGCATGACAACTGGGTTAATGGAAAAGTGGTTGTTCCTTGCGCTACCTGGTGGCTATTGCGTAATATATACACACACACACACACACACACACACATATATATATATATATATATATATATATATATATATATATATATATATATATATATATATATATATATATATATATATATATATATATATATATTTATTTATTTTTTCTGGATTGCTTACACACTAAAATGAAAAATAGTACATTATTAGCAAAACCTTACACTCAAGAAGCAAAACATCAGCGCATATTAAAACAACTATAAGCACATTGTCAACTTCACACTTGTTGCAAAACTCTACACACAGTGATTTGCAAAACACTAAACACAGTATTTACAATAGCAGAATGTTCGAGTAAATTTGCCTGTCTCTGTGTGCAGGGACACACTTTAGTGGTAGACCCTATTTCCTGTTTGTCAGAACACTGACGCATACTAGTGAAAAATATAGGCCACAAACTTCGCATGACAGATAGGATAACTGCCACGGAAGCTGCATCTTTGCACAAGTGTCTTTCTATCTGTCTGTCTGTTTATTTATGGAGGGTGTGTAAATCTAATTACAACATATATGCATACATATTATTATGTTTTTCTTATCATAACTTACTTATTCATAACATTTTTTTGTCAAAGTTGCTGTGTGTAATTCGTTGTGATTTGCGATTTGTTAATTACAATATGACTATATTTGTTCCTAACTGCATTTACTTCTGGTTCTGTGAAATGCATGGATTAGAGAACCACTGCTAGGTAAAGCATAATAACCATTAATTGAGATTTATTTGTATTTAAAATAAAAGACTGTCACTGACTCAATGACTTTATGCATGCTTCAGTTTATTTGTTAGCAGATGGTACACAACAGGTGCTGGCATCTTTTACTCTGAGGGCCAGCGGGGCACTTGTGTGGCACAAATGTTCATTCGTCTCACTGCATTAAACCATAATTAGCATACCTCCACATTGTGATCTGCTCCATCAATTTTGCTTGCAAAAAAAAAAAAATTATATCCTGGCTATAAAAATAACATAAAAAAAAAAATTTGTGCATGCTTACATGGTAGAATTTTTCTTCTCAAAACTGTTTCATATCTGCCTAATAAACACAATCTTCAACTTAATATTGTTACTAAAGATTTGGTAACCCCAGAACCCCAGCCATTCTGACTCCAAACTGGCTAAACAAACAGGGATAACATTCTTATTTAAAGCAGTGTGGTTCACTCAAGGTTAAAGTGTGGATTTCAAATGTGATTAACTGTTAGGTTTACATGAAAAATACAGGTCACAATAAACCATGAGGCTTTTCCGAAACAAACGGAAAGTTCTAGGCCTCAGTGGTGAAGGTTGTTGATGGGTCAAGTTTTACCTAGACCCATCATTTTATTTTAATTGGCTTTCGTACTGTTTGCCAAAATTCCACACAAATTGAAAGACTACATTAATCGTGTTTTTGAACCAGAGGTCTGAGCAACTGTAGAAAGTCCAGCTTAAAAGTTTTTTTTTTAATATTTTCTGCTTTTGTTTCTTGTTATGAAACATTTTGTGTGTGTTTGTGTGTATTTATGTGTATTTTTCTTTGCGTTTTTTAAATAAAAACCTCTAATATTCTTTGTGTGTGTGTGTGTGTGTGTGTGTGTGTGTGTGTGTGTGTGTGTGTGTGTGTGTGTGTGTGTGTGTGTGCGTGTGCATGATTCAAAATTAGGTTATGGAATGTTATAGATATTACACTTATACAGTGAGTTTTTTTGTATAGCTTCGAATAATACGATCAAATTATACAGTGCAAGAGAACCCATAGACACATTTATTTTGATAATCACTGCCCTGAAATTATTTGAATAATAAAAAATGAAAATTTTAATTAATGCGCAGGCAGTATGCTTAGTTAGCTACCGTTCTTAAATATCTTTAAATGGCACCTGCTCTAGTCAAACATTTCACATGCTGCTTGAAATTGCCTTTGTGGTTGTACAGTATTTTGGGTTAAAGTTTCGGGCCTTTGTATGCATGTTCTCTCTGTCAAGTAGTAACTCACTGACAGGAAATGAATTATAGAGTAAAGAAAACAAACTGTTTTCTATGCACTGATACTGTACATAAGTCACACTGGAATGCATCATTTTGATAGTTTCTCAAAAATAAATACTTATGTGTTGGACTACAGCCACTATCACTTCTAGTTTTAAGTTTACTTTTCAGTGTCTATTCTATTTATACTTAGTATTTAACAGTATGTACAGATGTGTAACAAACAGCATAAAATGTTTGGTTGAGTCACAAACCAGGATTTCATAGCCTCCACCTCAGGCATCTGATGAAGCAATATTGTGTTTCATAACTGATAGTTATGTTTGTACATGTCTATACCTTTAGTAAATTCACCTTGTGTTACCTGGATAGATTATATTATTTATGTTTCTGATTTACATTTCATTTTTTAAATTGTTTTTGAAATATTTGGGTGATTTTCTTTTTGTATCTTCTTGGTAAGGCTTCTTTGTAAGTGTCTAGACACTCTATGAAAAGAGGAAGCTACGTTTAGTCGTTATGAAAGGAAAAGCAGCTATCTTGTCCCCTCCCACTCTCACATTGTGAGTTGTGCTCTGTCAGACGTATTTTTCAACTTTCTGAATCCTCCAATTCAGCAACTTTGCATTGCAGACTGAATATCCTTTTCTCTTTTGGGTAAGTTTGTGGTAAACATTTAATTTATGATATTTTTCTTTTTTTAATAAGGCTGCTGGTCAATTGATCATTTGAATTTAGAATTAAGAAACTAATTAAAGAATTAACAGAAGAACTTTATAAAATGGTTTTATAAAACAATGAAGTACACAGCACATTGCGAATGGTGTATGCTTGTCTGTTTATATGTGTCTTGTTAATCTTAGATAAAGTAATAACTGTTTGTGGTTTCTCTATCTTACTTAGTATGCTAGGTTTATGAGATCTCAAAAACAAAACAATGCAATATAAAAAATTTAACACTTCAGAGCTACAAGAAAGTCAAATTTAACGAGGCATATAAAAATTAAATCATGACTCACAGAGGTCACATTTAAATCAATTACATGTGTGCACAGAGTGGAGATTTCTATTTATTGAAATAGAAGTTTCAGTAGAAACTGTCTCAGATTTAGTGGACCCCTAAACCTGTTAGGGGGTTACACTGTTATATGGCATATGTGCCATATCTTGTGCCAATATTTTTTGCAGACAAACCTAGTTTATTAGCTTAGAGGGTCTACATTTTGGTGTAGTACCTGAACAGTACACCTTTTGGTTCTGAGAACCAGGGCTGAATTGAATTTTTAGGATATAGGCAAAGAACATTTTTTGCGGCTTCGATCCCATCATTGTTGGCCCCAGTAAACATACTAAAGTATATTTTGATATTTTGTTCTATAATGTAATAATTTTCTTTGAAATTGTTTTAAAATTTTAGCGATGTGAAATTACAGTGATATAATAATATTCATTAAAAATATGTATTTTTTCCTTGTAAAATTTAACTGTTGTAAAATGGTGAAAATACAAGGTATTCAGGAAGCTGTAACATTTACATTGTACTCTTCATAAAAAATGTTAAAAATGAAAATCCTTCTCTGAATGTCAAATCTTTCTTTCTTTCTTTCTTTCTTTCTTTCAGGACCCGAGGTTATTACAAGTTTTTACGGAAATATGGCGGACGTAGGAAAGACACCTGTGGCACGGAACGAAAAGACCAGCAGTGAATTTGGCTATGTGGGCATTGATGCTATCTTGGAACAGATGAGGAGGAAAGCCATGAAACAAGGCTTTGAGCTCAACATAATGGTAGTGGGTAAGTTCAGGTGTTTGTGTGCAACAGTGTGTGCAGTTTTTGTATTAGTTGTGCATATTTTGTATTCATCTGCAACCTTGAAATTAAATAGTTAGAGCTAATGCTATTTTCAAATTAACACAAAATATGTGGTTTGTTTATTGAATAAAAAAAACTAAATAGCATATTATATATATATATATATATATATATATATATATATATATATAGTATTATTTAGCATCTATATAATAAAGCAAAATACAAAACAAAGAAATCAACAAAACATAACACTGTATTTTCCATTTTTTTTCTGTAATGGTTTAGATCAGAGGTGTCAAACTCAATTCCTGGAGGGCCAAAGCCCTGCACAGTTTAGATTCAACCCTGCTCCAACACACTTACCTGTAGGTTTCAAACAAGCCTGAAGGACTCAATTAGTTTGATCAGGTGTGTTTAATTAGGGTTGGAACTAAACTGTGCAGAGCTGTGGCCCTTTTGGAACTGAGTTTGACACCTGTGGTTTAGATGTAGTTAAAATGTCACCTGAGGAAAGCATTCCTCAAAGTGCATTTAAACCTCTGTGCACCATTTGAAAATTCTTCTAACATGTGCATTTAATTCAGGCTCTTATGTCTAGGTTCAGTAATTTTGCTTTTATGGCAATGAATATGTTGTTTTCATTGCCTATAAAATGAAATAACTGAATATAAACAGAAGAGGCTAAGACAAAAATGCTGAACGTAGAAAGAAACTCCAGATGGCACTTAGAGGTTTTTGCATTTTAATAATAATAATAATAATAATAATAATTCGTTACATTTTATATAGCGCTTTTCTGGGCACTCAAAGCGCTTTACACAATTGGGGGGGAATCTCCTCATCCACCACCAGTGTGCAGCATCCACCTGGATGACGCGACGGCAGCCATTTTGCGCCAGACCGCACACCACACCAGCTGATTGGTGGAGAGGAGACAGAGTGATGATATGCCAATCATGATATGGGGAGGGTTAGGAGGCCATGATGGACAGAGGCCAGTGGGCAGATTTGGCCAGGATGCCGGGGTTAAACCCCTACTCTTTTTCTAACTCTTCATATATAGTCATGGTGTGGACAGAAAGTTAATATTTTATATCTTCTAGCTTCAAATTCCTTATTTCAAATGTAGACGCTTGACAAGCATGTGCAAAGAGAGAGGAAGGGTGTGCCTCGTGCTTTGAATGTGTTTTAAATGCAATATGTATATGATTTTGGAACTTCTCACCCAAATAGTGTGTCATACATAATCCCATTCTTCATTGAATACCAGTGAAATACAAATTAATCGTTAAGCTATCATTCTGTTTTTATTAAGTAGAGTGGTTTTAGTTATTTTCATTACTTTGGATTCAAAATGGCTTGGATCTAGGCAGGGTAATTGAAGCTACAACCTAAAGATCATAGCTGGGACCTTCAACCAGGATTACTAAGTCAGTTTAACCTTTGGGCAACAAAATGCTCTAGATGTCCCCAAATGACTTTAAAAGTTATGGCCTCTGTCTAAGGTCCAGTCTGTATTTTCCAAGGCCATATTCACTGACCCAAGTGCACCAGTATGGCACTGGTCCAGAACACTGCCTGGCAGCACATATCCGTCCCACTTCCAAAATCCAACTACAATCTTTTTAAAAACAAATATCTTCCAGTAAACTGATTTGTTATTCTCCAGCAGTAAATATGCCTGATTTTATTGGATTTTCTTGGCAGAATGTAGAACTCTGCAGCATAGAACCTGTAGCCACTTGTAGAGTCTTAGAAGGATTGTGTTGTGTCAGTGCTGCATGGAAGTCTTTTTCTTTGAGGACATAAGAACTGAGACAAAAGTCTTTGGTCCAATCCCAATTAAACCCCTTAGCCCTTCCCCTTACCCCTACCCCTCGATTTGCACATTCACGTGAAAGGCTAGGGGTGTCCCAATTCTTTTTAGCTTGAAGGTGTATGGCTAAGGGGAAGGGCTAGATAGCTCTTGAAACTGAGATTTTTCTGGACCACACTCAAAACCAAGGGGTAGTACACCATCTAAAATGACAGCATGGCTGCACATGTACAGGTGAAGTTTTTTTTCCCTCTCCGCTGTCGCCACTGCCTCGCATGGTTCAGGATTGGTACGCATCGATGAATTTGCTCTTCAGTGTTTGAACTCTCAGTAATGATTAAATCACACTGAACTGAGCTAAACTGAACTGAACGGAACTTAAACACTAAAACCTGAACCACACTGTTCCAGTTACTGAACCACACTGTTCCAGTTACTATGACCATTTATGTAAAGCTGCTTTGACACAATCTACATTGTAAAAGCGCTATACAAATAAAGCTGAATTGAATTGAATTGAATGGACTTAAGAAGATTCACAAATTATTAATTAAAAAAAAAAAAAAAAAACAGCATATGTTTTGATGCATTCATAACGACCTTCATGTTTTACTGTCATGTTTTATTTATAAAAACTCTAAAATAAAAAAATGCTAAATTTTGCTGTCTGTATCCCTAACTGACATAATTCGTAATTCACATCTGTCACTTGATGACACTGGAATACCCTGTCAGAAAAGTCTAGTGGCTGGGAATGACCTTTTTACAGTGTCTGGTATAATGTTAATGCTGTTTTTGTGTGTTTACATGACTGAATATGGGCACGGTATAAATGTACAGTACAGTTCTGATCTTATTGCCACAGTATATTGTCATGATAACATGATATATGCCTTCAGTAATTTCCTGAAAATAAATACCAAAGCAAAAACAAAAAAACGCAACTGGAATCACTACAGCAGTCGTCGTTGTCAATCTCACATGAAGTAAGAGATCATGGTGACGTATGATGTTGTGTGCAGGTGTTGTAGTGGTCTTCCATTTCTTAAGGGTACATTTTGAAGTACTTCCTCTTCACACTTTCAAGGGCCAAGGGGATGGGGTAGGGGAATAAACATAGAATTAGGGTTGGGCCTATGTTTCTCTGAAAGAGCTTGATCATATTTAGTTTAATTCACGACTTTGGTAAATTAATCTATATGTATGTAGTGGTTGCACAACATTTTTTAGGCTTGTTAATCTTTTCAATTCAATTCAATTCACCTTTTTTTGTATAGCGCTTTTACAATGTAGATTGTATCAAAGCAGCTTCACATAAAAGATCATAATAATTAAAAAAAAGCAAAAAAAAGTAATTTTTTGATCTGGCTTTCGTTAAAGACTTGTGTTTTTAGCCTCAAACCTACCATTAGCTGTATCTGAAATCACACACAATATTAGTATTAGTTATAGTATTAGTATAGTATTAGAAGACTGTCTGCTTAATATCTGTTGATATGCTCCTTCAACAGACATTTAACTGACTATAACAAACTTTGCAAGTACATGTCAACTTACCCTAACCCTAACCCCAACCTAACAGTCTACTTATAACCTAATGAGATGTAAATTAAATTCAACAAATGGACCATCAAAAAAGGTTTGACCAGCTTTTAACTTAAGCGGTGAAGATGTTTATTTTAGCTATGTAATATAAGCCACCAGACAGAGTAAACTAAAAAAAATATAGGCTGAAGTTTACTTAAACTTGATGGAAGACAAGTTAACTTTTTAACCAGAGATGTATTGTGTTATATTTTGAAGCTAAAATGCAAACATGGACAGAAATTAATGTCAACCTGAGCTTAAACAGATGACTCTTAATAAAGTATATTGCTCCTCTTTCAATCCAGCTAAATTGTAATAAAAGCTAAGTGATAAGATACAATTCTTAAACGTGCATTAACAAATCAAGCTAATTTCACAATAAACATAATAAATCAAGAAAAGACATAACTTATTCCTCTTTGTGGTGACACTGAATGAATGTATAATCTGTATATCCTGCATTTTACATTCTGACAAGCTCTAAAGTGTTGGCTGTGGGAGTCGTTGCTTAGTTCTGCATAGAAAACAAACTGGTGTGGCTGGTTTTGACTTTGCTGTTTTCAGAATAAGAGTCCCACATACATGGAAATTTAATATAAACTTAAAAAATAAGGGAGAAAAGCATTATTATAATCTGAAAAACTGGTGAGTGCATATTAATGATTCCATAAGTAACAAATAAGTCCATGTTTTGGCTAATGATCTCCTGATGATGTGGCTGCGCATCCGGTCCAGATGTCGTAGAACAGTGGTCACTAACATGCCAGGTCTGAACCCAGATACAGTCCCATACGAACCCAGACCTACAGCCTAGAAGTCTGCATGGGACTATTTTTTCAGTTCAGCTCTCGCTGGATTTTATCCCATACCCAATTGCTCCTACTCTTTATTCAGTCTTTGTTCACCTGTTGTCCACTTGGAACAATTTTCTTTCAGACCTGACTGTTCCACTGAATTAAGACTAGAGAGAAGAGCCACACAGTCTCTCTTTGCTTAATCTTTACATTCTTTGCAGATCTGGGTCAGTCACATTAACTTTTTTATTTATTTTAATTAATGAGTAAACATTTAAATCTACACTTGCATGTGTTCAGTTTAATGTTAAATGACAAAAAATATTGTAAAAAAAATTATATTACACTGAATTTATTAATTTTTTAGTAGTGTCCAAAACCATAGTGGAAATTTTGAAGTGCACTTAGTCAATCCCAAAATGCACCAAAGTAATGAGTGTACCCTCAACTGCAAGAGAATACCCATAATACGTACCCATAATACCAAAATGAATTTTTGCTTTTGACATCTGTCTTTATTTTATTTTTTATTTCAAAGTTTATAAAGTATATTATTTTCACAGCCAGAAGACATAATCGCATTGGTTGAGGTAGAGATTGGAAACGACATCAAGCTTTAAACAGAAAGAAGTAGAAAAAATTATGCTCAAAATTTATGCATAGGAAGGGATACATTTTGTCTGCAAAGTTCATAATTGCATGTGAAAGATGTGGTAAAGAATCTATAAATTTACAACACACAGTTATCAAATGATGATGTTTACATATTCTGCACAAAGCACGCATATTGTTTAAATGATTAGTTCCACTTCAAAAATGCGAATTTCCTAATGATTTACTCAAACTCATGTCATTCTATATTTTTTATTTTTCTTTCTTCAGTCAAAAAGTACAGAAGGTTTTTAAGAAAACATTTCAGGGAATTTCTCCATATACAGTAGTAGACTTCTATTGTAGTCATTGCTTTAAACTACTGCATGATCTACATGAGTTACATGATCCCAGCTGAAGCATACCTAATGAAAAAAATCTGCCATTTAAAAAAAAAAAAAGAGAGAATGTAATTTAAATATATGTTTGTACATAGTCTAGGGTTAATTGTGTGTTTCTGTGTATTTATTAAATATTATAAAATGAATCTAAAATAAAATCAGTTCACTAACTGTGACATTTATTTGTTTTTATTTTTTTACAGGTCAGAGTGGTCTGGGTAAATCCACATTGATGAACACACTTTTTAAATCTAAAGTGAGTCGTAGATCCGTTATGACAACAGAGGAAGAGAGAATTCCTAAGACCATTGAAATCAAGTCAATTAGTCATGGTAAAAATGCCTACAGAACTGAAACTGCAATAGCTGCTTACCCGTCGAGGGATAAGTCTAATTATAACAATTCTAAATTTGGTTTTACTCATTCACAACTTTTCTTTTTGCAGATATTGAAGAAAAAGGAGTGAGAATGAAGCTGACCGTCATTGACACACCAGGGTTCGGAGACCAAATAAACAATGAGAACTGGTCAGTGTCTCTGTGATAATCAGCCTGTTTTGATATCTGCCATGTTAAATGCACTTACATGTAATTCGTGGAGAAGATGTACTAGCTTAATACTAGTTGTTGTTCAAATAACCCTTTGATGAACCTTTTTTTTCAATCTATCATTCATTCTTTTTGTTTGTCTGTTTGTTCCCCTCTCTGTTTGATCTGTATGTAGCTGGCAGCCCATCATGAAGTTCATTAATACACAATACGAACAGTATTTACAGGAAGAGATCAACATTGACAGGAAGAAGAGAATTCCAGACTCACGAGTCCACTGCTGCATATACTTTATTCCTCCTACCGGACACTGGTGAGACACAAGTGCACATGCACACACACACACACACACACACACATACTGTACATGCCACACAACACAACCAAACCAAAATTATTTTGCTATGTGTACAATACATTTCTTTAGATGTCAGAGGGCTTTGTTCAAATGTGTGTTTTTTTAGAGAATTATTAGGTTAATCCAATCTGCAATCTGATTGCTGTACGTCACAGATGTGAAATCAGGGAAAGTGTTGCCTTGTTCAAATTTAAATGCATTTATCTTCAAAAAAGTGTTGTTTTCATCTAAGGGTGAAAAATATTTATATTTTATGGGTAAAATCAAAATATTACAAGAAATGTTTGTGAATATAACACTGTTTCCATTCCATGTTTTCATTAGAGAACAATCAACACTTGCTGAGAAATTACTGTGTGAATAATAATGATTTTTGGACCAGTAAGAAAATGACTAAGTATTTTTTCCTCAAAATTAAATAAGTTGTACCTCAGAGCTGCCGTCTACATGCATAACAACAAACTCTGTCAGTTTATCTTGCATTTGGAAGCAGATGCATTGTGTATAGGAACAGAATCATGGGAGACATTAATAGAATGTAATTATTCAAAACCATTTTTAGGATGGACTTCTGCTTAAGTATATACAGAATTATTAAAACAATGTGCACATTAATGCTTCTAGAGTTTATATATAATATAGGGCTGTCAATCAATCACAATTTTTAATCATGATTAATTGCATGATTGTTAACTCTTTAACTAATCACATATTTTCTCTGTTCTAAATGTACCTTAAATTAATATAGATTTGCATTTTGCATAACGGACTGCAGGACTGTAAGTGCAAACAAAAAAAAAGTGAAGCGTAACATGTTTTTTAGGTATGCAATGAAATGTAAACTCTTAAATCATAAAGATTGACTATCAAATACATCAGGCATGTGCACACATAGGGCTCAGCCTGTGCAGTGCACTTGCCCTTTTTAATCTTGGATAGAATGTGCCCCTCCAAAATGATCAAAAGTGCCCCCGCGACACCCCCCCACCCCCCTGCTTTACAGTACTCGCGCTTCAACACCGCTGATGAGAACGGGCGCGACAACACCGCTCTTCAGTACGACAACAACAACTACAACAACTTGTTTGTTTTTTTGTTTTTTGTTTGTTTGTTTGTGTAACGAGGAGGCGGACACCGAGAGATCCATCTGCAGTATGTTTATTAAGATCAGATTAAAGATCAGGCATAAGGAGTCGAAAGGCAGGCAGTAAACACTCGTTGGTCGTTGGAACAGGCATAGATCAGGACTGGCAAAGATACTCTGAGAAGAAAGTAGAGGGTCAGGGCAGGCATCAAGGAAGACAAGGTCAAGAGCAGTCCAGGTCAGTAACAGGAGAACAGTAAGGATACAGGGAGAACCGCTTGGTAATGTTGACTGGGCAAACAAGACCTCGCAATGATGTGAGCGTGAATGCTGCGTGAATGTGATGCGAGTCAGGTGCAGCGCAATCAGTGACAGATGCAGGGCTTCTGGGGGATGTAGTGCTAAAAGTCCGATAGGGCCAGTGAGGGGAATGACTGGGACCGAGCTGGTGTTTGTTTGTTTGTTTGTTTGTTTGTTTGTTTGTTTGTTTTTTCATGTGATAATTTAAAAAGTATTCCAGTGTCATCAATTCCAAGTAAAAATTATTGAAGCTCTCTGTCAGCAAACACTGCGTGTATTCAGCACTCAGCTTGAAGAACATTATTGTTAACTAGTTGTATATAAACTATGAGTATTTAGTTAGTCTTGTCTGTGCCTCAACAAATAAAGTGAAAACATAATGATAATTTAGCAAATTCATTGAAATCGTTATAATATAAAATGTAATTAGGAAATTAATACATTAAGACAAAATTAACTAATAACAATACGTAGGAATCATTAATGTAGTAATCAGTAATACCTGTTTTAGTTTTAACTCGTGATTATCTGTGCATTAGTTGAGCATTAATTGATGCATATTAGTACACCCATAGTGTAAAGTGTTAGCAAATAGATGGATTGAAAGATTCAATCAACCAGCATTGTGCTTCACTGCAGTATAAAATGTTTTCTTGCATTTGTGTTTGTGTTTGTGTTTTTGTTTGTGTGTGTGTGAGTGAGTGAGTGAGTGAGTGAGTGAGTGAGTGAGTGTGTGTGTGTGTGTGTGTGTGTGTGTGTGTGTGTGTGTGTGTGTGTGTGTGTGTGTGTGTGTGTGTGTGTGTGTGTGTGTGTGTGTGTGTGTGTGTGTGTGTGTGTGTGTGTGTGTGTGTGTGTGTGTGTGTGTGTGTGCAATGGGGCCAGGGGAAATGGCATTGCGTGGTCCTGGAAGTGGTTTTGTTTGCTATCGCATTTTGTAGGTGTATATGGTGTAGAGGAAGAAGGATGGTTAAGCCATTTTAAGAGGACATTTCCTTCTGTGAGTGTATGTTGGTATGAGCACAGTGTTATTAGATACTGTCTTGCAGCTGCTGCATGCTTATAAGCTATCTGAACAGCTGCTCATTTTGCCACATGTCACACATAAGACTGCAGTTCCTGTGTTGAAAAACTCTTAACAGAGTATCAATGTAAAAATTGTGGAGCCAAAAGGGCAATGTGCCCAAAATCTGTGCTCTGGCCAAATGCTAAATTTTGCATTGCTTATTGTTGTACAACTGCCATAACCTAGTGAGGGATTGGACATCATATTTATGACATATGAGTGATTACTAACATTACTTTGGTGTAAGAAAAAAAAATTTCTGAGACACAATGGCTTGCATGCTAGTTGAAAAGTACAGCACAGGTCTGTCAAATTAATATCTGGAGATGGACAAAACAGTTTATTTAGTTTTATATACACACACACACACACACACACACACACACACATATATATATATATATATATATATATATATATATATATATATATATATATATATATATATATATATATATATATATATTTTTTTTTTTTTTTTTTTTTTTTTTAGGGAATTATACAGTTGCTAGTTAGGCACTCTTTAACAAACTTTTTTAAAAATAATAAAACAAAAACATGGTTGCTAAAGAGCATTTAGAAACACATATTTACCTCTCTGTTTTATAAGAAAACAAAATGGTTTGCATTGTGTTAAAATTCAATTTAATTGGGATTTTTTTTTGTTTTGTTGTTGTTTTCCAAAGCCCCACCCCAATTTCTATGTCCAACAAGCTTTCTGTGTCAGCCATGGTACTCCCGTATTAATTTGTGCACTCCCCAATGAAATAGGGAATGATTTCTGGGAACAATTACATACTGATTTCAGACAGAATCAGACATACAGTAATGGTCTGCAATATGCATATGGGGGATATATTCAGGATATTATGTAACTGAATATGGAAAAAAGATTAAAGCTATCTTATGATGGGAAGTTCAGAATCATTAATATAATTACCTTCACAAACACACACAAACGGTTGCATGTCAAAAAGAATACATTGGATCTAGGAAATTATAAAAAACAATAAAAATGGGTCTTCGGGCAATGCAGTTTCAGTTACAAGTAGCTAATCTCACCTGTAACAAGTCCTCAGGTAGTTCACAGTTTTGTTTTGAAGTCTTTTAAATAGGAAAACTAGAAATAAACAAACAAAAAAAGCAAAGTTTAATTGTTTCACAAAGTGATAAAGTTTAATTAATGAATGTCACCCTCATTAATAAATATGGTTTTGTTAGAAACAGAAAGTGAAATGAGAAGTGTCCACCACCAATGAAGAATCTTCCTCTATGAAAAGATCATGAGAACAATAGATACAGGTTTTCAAAATATCAGACTGTGTTCTCATGCCAGGGTACAGTGCTTACAGTAGAAAGTATTTATAGCGCTTCACTTTTCCCACATTTTTTATGTTACAGCTGTGTTCCAAAATGGATTAAATTAATTTATTTCCTCAAGTTTCTACATTCAATACCCCATAATGACAATGTGAAAAAAGTATTGTTGAAATTGTTGCAAAATTATAAAAAATAAAAACACACAAGTACATAAGTATTCACAACCTTTGCTCAATACTTTTTTGATGCACCTTTTGGCAGCAATTACAGCCTCAAGGCATTTTGAATATGATGCAACAAGCTTGGCACACCTGTCTTGTATTTTTGCCCATTCCTCTTTGCAGTACCTCTCAAGATCTATCATGTTGAATGGGAATCAACGGTGTCCAGCCATTTTCAGATCTCTCCAGAGATGTTCAATAGCATTTAGGTCTTGGTTCTGGCTGGGCCACTAAATTAAATGTAAATAGATTGTACTGGAAATTTTACTACCAAAATATGAAAATACGGCTGAGCAAGCAATCTGTGTAACAGTACTTCTTAACTCTCAGACAAAAAAAACAAAACTACAAAAATGTTACAACAAAAATGTTACACATTTTTAATGGGTTAATACCCTAAGCTGTCAAATACTAGATGAATATTTCTGTGCATAATGTACAGTACTTAATTTAAATTGTACAAATATAGAAGTGCACATTAGTTATTGGTTCTTTAAAATACATATATCAAAGAGTGTATTTATTTACTTTATACTACCCAAAAGAAAGAAACAGGCGATATCATACTTTCTTTAAAAATGTATTAATGTCATCAAATTTTGTATTGCATATTTTGTATTGTATATAACATTGTATATTCTGTTTTAACAGTAAAATATACAAAGCCCTCTGCAGTTCTGCAATACTAGTATACTTTACTAAATAGTATTTACAAAACAGAAGCCATTGATTGTGAACAGATGGGACAGTTAGTCCTGGGTGTGGCTTGAGAAATTTTAATGTGATATATTCAGTTAAATTCCTGTTTTTTATATAGCGCTTTTTACAATGTAGATTGTGTCAAAGAAGCTTAACATAGTTCTAGTAATGTCCAGATTTCAGAGTTGAAGTTCAGTTTAGTGTAGTTCAGTGTGGTTTAAATTTCACTGTTAAAAGTTCAAACACTGAAGAGCAAATCCACTCATAGTATTTTGTCCTGGGGACTTAGAGCTCTGTGCATGTTTGTTCCAGTTAATAAAAAAGGCAGAATGCAGTGTGAGTTGGTTGAACCTGATATCTGCCTATTACAGATGTTATTGTTGGATGTTTTGGTCTTGCAGATGCAGTGCACTGCAAATAAATACTCCACACAGTGCACTAAAATATGCCAGCTGGCTATATGTAAATTATGTAAAATTTATAAAAATCTTTCAGAACACATTTTACCCCAAATTGACATATTTAACACTTTGTTATAATAAAATGTTAATAATTTATCATTACATGCATTTTGTAGTTATAAAACTTGTCAATTGGAGGCAACAAAATTTGTATTTATATTTTCATTTGTTCATTTTAGAGCATTTTCAACAATCTGATGAAAATGTTTTGAATTCCACATCAGACAGAAAACCTTTTTATTTTTTATTTTATTTTTACGTTTAATTCCCTATATTTACTATTTATTTTCTTTTAAACATCACAGTACTTGTTTATCTAGTGATGAATATTCCTTTTGGGTAATTGTTTTGCTTTGCTCTGCTGTCTTTTATTGTTTAGTTTGCGACCAATTGACATTGAATTTATGAGACACCTCAGTAAGGTGGTAAACATTGTTCCTGTCATCGCCAAGGCAGATACTCTTACCCTGGAGGAGAGAGACTTCTTCAAACAGAAGGTGAGTAGTTTTTTTTTCTCAGCTTATCCATAGAGTGTAAATCATGGACCTCTTTCAACCATCGATAAGAGATTTTGTAAAGACCATGATAATCTTTTTTTTTTTTTGTCTGTACCAGCCTCTTGTGTCATTTTGTTCAGTGATCCAATATATGCCATCAAGTTATTGTATAAAAGCTGTGTAACAATTTAAAATGTTTACACACACACACACACACACACACACACACACACACACACACACACACACACACACACACACACACACACACACAGTGGTATGAAAAAGTGTTTGCCCCCCCTTTTAGATTTTTTTCCATGTTTGTCACACTTTAATGTTTCAGATCATCAAATTTTGAAATATTAGTAATTATAAAACTACTTAGCTCTGTGCGGAAAAGTGTTTTCCCTCTAAACTTAATGAGTGTTTGAGTCACATTTAGCGGCTACAACTGCAATTAAGTGTTTTCGATAAAAATTGTTGAGTCTGTTACAGTGCTGTGGAGCAACATTTGGAGGGTTTTCAAGCATGATCAAATATGCCACATGACCTCAATTTAACTCAGGTCAGGACTTTTACTAGGCCATTTCCAAAGTCTTCATTTTGTTTTTCTTCAGCCATTAAAAAGTGGACTTTCTGGTGTGCTTTGGATCATTGTCCTGCTGCAGAGCATGTTTGCTTCAGTTTGAGGTCACTAACAGTTGAACAGCAGACATTCTGCTTCAGGATATTTTACAAAGCAAAATATATGGTTCCGTTTATTACAGCATGTTTTCCAGGTCATGATGTTCTTGGATTCCTATGGATCTTGGTATGTTGTCTAGTTTTTAAAGATCTGTTGGTCTTCTTCACTTTGTCATACAAGACCTATTTAAGTGATTTCTTGATGTGGCAGTTAGTTCTGGGTGCGGCTTGAGAAATTTAACTCAGGTGTGATATAGGGCTATGTAGTTTTGTATTGTGTTGTCTCTTAATAATAAAAACCTTATTTAGTATGTATGTATGTATTTATTATATATATATATATATATATATATATATATATATATATATATATATATATATATATATATATATAAATGATTGCATCAAATTTAAACAAAGAGCAACATGTAACATATACAAACAGCGGGGGAAATAATTATTCAACATATCATGTTTATTTCCTGGGAATAATATTTCTAATGGAGCAGTTGACATTGAACTAGACCAGATTTTGGTAAAAATTAAACAATGCAAATACGAAAACAAAACAAAAGAATAAAAAATCTGGAAAAAAAAACGTTACGTGTAATAACTATGGAATGACACAAGAAAAAAGTACTGAACTACTGAAATGTATTTAATACTTTATATAAATGGCTTTTTGGTGATGGCAGATTAAAGACACTTCTCATATGGAGAATTAAGTGACATGCATTGCTCAGGTGTAATTCTTTCTAGAATTTCAACAGAGTGTAAAAATCGTGGATAACAATTTTTAATAATAATAATTATTGTTAAAAAATAAATTATTTTAAAAAATATAATAAAAAATAATAAGATCATTTTTAAGCATTAGCAAAAATTTAATTCATCATTTGTTAAGCATTAACTCTATTATATGACATTAGTAAGGAGTTTATAAATGCAACTAAAATGCTGTATTCTTGACTTGTTAGCACATGTAGAATAGTTAATAATCCTACTTTCATACTTCATTACTGCATTACTTCGTAATGCATTATTTACAAACCAGTAGTTGGTGGTTTGGTGGTCTCATTTCTCAAGAGTCTTGAGTTTTGTTCAGTGACTTCAAAATGTTATTTTTTTCACTTACCACGCATAAACCTTTCCTTCTCAAAAACACTATCTTGTACATAAATGTTGCTAAAATATTATTGTAGCCCAGTTTGTGCTGTTTACAATAGTATTAGAGTTTGGTCACTTATATGTTTATAACCATCTGAAAAAAGCACAAATGTCAGGGCATATCAGAACTTATCCAGTCCCCCAAAACACACTTAGACACCAGAGGGTGAAATTTCACTTTAAGCTAAATACAATCTTGCAAAATTAGTAGAAACATAATATTTACTGTTTCCAATGGTTATTAGAAATTATTTTAAAATGTGTTGGGAAAAAAAAAAAAACATCTTTCTGTTAAACAAAACTTGGGAAATGTTTTTATATAATAAAAATGTCACAGAAGGTCTAATCATTTTTATTTTATATATAGTATAAAAGAGTTCAGATGCAAAAACCTTTAAATACCATCTGACATTTAATCCTAAAATGAGCAATTTTCCAGCCTCCTATATTGTATTCTGTTATTCATGAAAATAACTTATTCATCACTACAACAATAAAATTACTGAGCCTATACACAGGAGTCTGAGAAAAATGCTAAATTTTGAAGAAAATATCAAACGGCATTTAGAGTTTTGCATCTAAACACTTTGGTTGGTTATGGTTTAACCTAAAACCATCATTAGCGTGAACCCTGTAGTGTAAAGCAATATTGTGTAACATTTTGAAAAATTACGTTTAATTAATTTAGTAATAATTACCTTAGTTTTAATTATTTAGTTTTAATTTAAGTTTAATTAAAGCATATAAACTAGCAATTAAATTATTCTATTTCCTTTTGCTATTAGGTTAAGGTAACTTCATACTTCTCATTTTTACCTTGTACAACTTTTTTTTGGCTTTTTGGCCTATGTAGCTGCCAAAGGAAACTCAGAGGTCTTCCAAGCTACTGTTTCCTCCTAACATTTTCTTCACCTGCCAAACAGAACAAACCCCAGGCTCCAAAAGATCTTCAAGCCTGTATGCAGCTATTATGTTTGGCTGTGGGGTCAACGCACAATCCTTAGATCCTTTTTCTCCACCCTACACACGCAGCCTTTGACTTTAGAGAAAAGTGGGGGGTGACTCTATTTTCAAACTTTAGAATATTGATGTGGACTTGCTGAATATGTCTGGTTTATTTAATGTCCGGCTATGGACATCAAGCATATGGAAGCGGACAATCAAAACAAACACTAGCTCAGTGTGGATTCTGTGAAGGGTGTAGTTTTGATTCGTCGTCATTCATTAAAACCTCCCGCTGGATAAATGCTCTCTGTGTTCTTTTTATTATGCTCCAAGTGGCCTGTTTAAATCTTCACTGCCAGAGGTCTGAAGTCATGTGGGCTACGATTATTCATTCTAACATCTGAGAAACGCCGTGACCCTGAATGTGACCACAGAATGCGTCACCCAAGGTTCACCCAATGACGAAATGAATTTGATTCACTCACTGACATGTCATTACTTTAACTGTTGTTTTAATTATAATGTTATTGTTCATTTATTTTAATGTTAAGGAGTCACCACAGAAATATCAAACTTCAACTACCCTGGCATATGTTTTACACATCGAATGCCCTTCCATCCACTACTCAGCACTGGGAAACAACCATACACTCTCGTATTCACACACACTTATACACTACAGCCAAACAGAGGGAGAACATGGAGACTCCATGCAGAAATGCCAACTGGTCTCAGCAAGGAGTCAGACCAGCAACCTTCTTGCTTTGAGGCGACAGTGCTAATGACAGTTGCTCAAAACAAGAAAGCATTTTTAAACCTGTACTGGCTGCTTATTTTTGTATAATGAAAATATAGCGCCGTTCAGACTAGTCATATGCTGGTATAAGATTCTGATGGAACAACCTTGGAAAAAAATGTAAATTTTCACGATATCCGGTATCCTCACGGTGTTCTTTTTAAATGTCTGGTTAACACTAGAAACACTATGGGGTCAGTTTTACCCATCACTGTTATTCAAATGTACATAGCAGACCTTCAATAAAACATTTAAACCTTCTAGTCATTGACTTCTACTAAAATTGCCTTATTTACAATTCCCAGATATTAAAAATTGTTTCGATTAAAAATAGATTAAAAAAGTGGGACATTTATACCTATAAGTTTCAGCGTAGGTCTAATTTACCCACAATAAAAAATGATTGTATTTACACATTGCTTGTTTGAAATTACTCACTAGTGGCTTTTACTTTCAATTTCACTGAATTAGTGGTTATAATAAATGAATAGTCACAATGACTAGAAGGCGATTTGTAGAGCTATTAAAAACTAAACAAAATGACAATGGGAAATAAGTTATGCATCAGAGTATGATGGCTCAAATTTAGATATTGTAACCGTGATCATGAATGGTCAAATTTGAATGGTGTCGTTCTCCTAAAATAATCTTGTTATCCTGAAATAATAATTTCATGCATCTAGAAACTTTTTGTTAACAGTGGCAAAAAGCTTTTTTAGCAATTTCTAAACAAAATTTGGTCAAACAGTGACCTCAGGTGGTTCTATTTTAATAAACATTTTAAATATTTTGGAACTGTAAACATGTCAGGCTAAATCATTTTAAAAACATTTGACTTCTGCTATCTTCATTAGTTTTAACAAAACTGATTTCTCTTCAAAAAGTATCATTGGATATCTTTCTTCTCTTTAAATGTAAAGTAAAAAAAAATGTTCAGGTCCAGAGCATGCTTGTATTTTGGCACACAAACGATTAATTTTAGTTTTATAAATAGCAAGCTGATCAAATGCTTTTGATGTGGGGGGTCATTTTTTGTTGGAGATACTGTTGCCCTAAACAACTAAATAAAATAGTCATAAAAAAACATAAAATTGTATATATACCTGTATAGGAACAGAACATGTTAGTGGTTTTAAAGACTTGACTTTTTGACCAAACCACAGTAAACCTTGAAACCGGTTATTGTTCCATGCCTAATTCACACCAAGGTATAAACTGACCAAAAACAAATAAATAAATCAGGAACTAAAACATAAAAAATGCTACCTTTTGTAAAAAAAAAATGAAACAAATACGTTATAAATATGAGCCAAACAACAACCACATAATTTAGAAAATATAGCATTATTATTAAAATATTAATATTATATTATTTTAATAAAAAATAAAATAAAGCTAGTTTAAAACATTAATATAAACAAATTAAAAGGTAACAATTAACTGTGTGACTCATATGCAGTCAGTTTGAAACAAGTAAATAAAGACTGAGTTTACTATTCTGGGTAAGCCATACCTCTAATTTAATATCAGCTTGTTTGTCCATTATTATTTTTTTAAACAATTCATTCCCTTTTGTTGATCAAAGATTAGTAATGGCCTGTGCATGCGCTTTCATGCTTGTCCTGTAGATGAAGGAAGAACTAAAGCATACATTGATTGTTGATGATGATGATTGTGTGTGCTTGTGTGTGCAGATAAGAGAAGACTTGCGAGCCAATGAAATTGACATCTATCCTCAAAAGGAGTTTGATGAGGATGCAGAGGACAGAATGATTAATGAGAAGATCAGGGTATGTGTAGCTTTATATCATTCAATAACTCCTACTGTGGCGAGCATTTAAAAAAAAGTCAATGTTTATGTCTTACACTTAATAAAGAATTAGATTTTGTTTCTGTTCAGCTTTGTATTATTTCTAACAAAAAATGGAGTGGAGACTATTGAAGCTGTGTATCGATAGACTTTTTCTTCAGTGTTTCGGAAATAAAGATGACTGAATTGAATTTCAAGTGTTGCCTTTTTCATATTGAGCATTCTCCTTTCATGTATGTTTTAGGAGATGATCCCATTTGCTGTGGTGGGAAGTGATCAAGAATATCAGGTCAACGGAAAAAGACTTCTGGGCAGGAAAACAAGATGGGGAACAGTAGAAGGTTGTGCTTACATCTTTACACACACACTTCTTGTATTCACCACACTCACATTTGCACATCCTCTCTCTCAGTTCTTTCTTTGTTGTTGGGTTAGTGTCCTGTGTTCCTCTTCTTGGTTTAAAAATAAACATGCTTTTGTTTAGGGAAAGTATGTCCAAACTTTGGGATCTGTAAGATCTTTAAGAAGAAGCTGATCCTACTTACCAAGGCTGCATGTTCTGTATTTTATCAGAAATACAGTAATAAATATCATGAACAATTGTAAAAATATTTGTTGTTTTAAATTTTGTTATGTATTTAATTTTGATACAGTTGAATTTTTAGCTATCCTGTGAAATTTGTAATCTTTTTAAAAATATGGCCCAAATGATTTTAACAGACCAAGAGAATGTTTACAGTGTCACAGCATATATACATATAAATGTGTAGCATGGTCGCCAAAGAGCAAGAAGGTTGCTGGTTTGAATTCACACTGTTGTATTTTTGAAAAGTCTTATTTCTTTTGTTTGGCAGGAATAAATGCAATTTTTAATCAGTTTTAGGACAATATTATTATCCATCTTTACATTATTTTTAGTTTTTCTTTGTTTTATTGTCTACACTGTTTTCCTATAGCTTGCCTTACTTGCTTATATTGTAATTAAGAGTTTAAATTGCACTTTAGGCTAAATATTAGTATCTTCCAACAATAACTAGTAAAATATTATGTACTGTCATCATTGCAAAAACAAATGAGTAAATGCATGTAATAACTGTCTTATTAAAATGGATTTGTGTGGTACATATACATAAGAATGGTGTTCAGATTCACAAGCATTTTTATTGGAGGAGACCAATACCTCTGGTGTCGATTGTAAGTTGAGGAAGGTTCAATGAGCAATGAGTAATAAAATAATTTGATTAATAATAAGGCAAAAGATGTGACATACTGTAGCTTACATGATTAGTATGTGTTGAGTAAGAAATGTAAACAACAAAACAGAAAACAGTGCTTCAGTTAATATTCTGTATTTATTCTGTAATTTTAAATTCATTAATTGCTTTCAGTCTCATTCCAACATAATCTCACATTCAAGTCATCATTACCCTTGAGTTAGATGACAGAAAACAATATTCATTCCATTTTCAGGCATGCATAGTTGTATTTTTAAGTAGAACTAATCAACAATACCAAATTTTTTTCAACAAAACCAAGATTTTATTGTTTACCACTTACTAATTTCATTACTTCATTTGTGTACAAGCATTTTTGATCATTTCCTAGTGTCCTATTTTTAATGATATTAAAATATTTTGCTGCTCATTCTTTTTTGTTGTATTTTATAAAACACTACCATCTAGTGGCAAAAGGATGCTACTACAACTCAAGCAATAGTATTACATGCTGGCTCTCTAAAAGCTCAGTATTCTGATTCTTTGGCTTGCAATGCTAACTTCTTGCTAAACAAACAAAACAAAACACAAACAGACCGGTATTCACAACATTTTTGTATCTGTCATCCAATAAATGCAAAAATAAAAGGATAATTACAGGAAGTGGGAATGCATTTATTCTAGCTTACAAATCAGGTGATATTTATAAGTGAACTACTCTCTAAAACACTTCAAAAAATCTTCTTTTAAATTATTATTTTAATATATTTGATCGTTTTTTTCTTTTTTTCTTTCAGTTGAGAACACCACACATTGCGAGTTTGCTTACTTGCGGGACCTTCTCATCAGGTACTCAACAATTCAACAACTAATTTCTTTGTCAATGATTATATGCTTAAAATTCCATTACTCGTACTGGTAATTAACACTATAATGGCTGCACATTATGAATCATTTATTAAGCATTAGCTGACAGTTCATCATTAGTTAAGCATTAACTCTACATTATAAGACTTTACCAAGCAGTTTAAAAAAACAGCTAAAAATGCTGTATTTTTTACTTATAAGTAGGTCCACATGGAATGTGCGTGTGCAGAAATACAGATTTAAACAGAATTTAAGACCATCACTGAGTCTATTTATTTACTTGTGTAAATGTGTGTTTATTATATTTATATTATTGACTAATGTAAAAATGTTCATTCAATTTATTTACAATGCAGTTCTAAAGTAAATAAATAAAATAAAAAGTAAACAAAGTAATATTTCCTTTTTATAGTAGATATATTATATAAGAGACTTCTTTACTAATTAAGTAGATCTAATTTAATTTGCATTGTAAACATTAAATACAAGTTAAAAGGTATATTTTGTTATTTTATATATATTAATTTAAGGTTTTACATTCATTTAGCAAAAATCCACATTTTTTTTACACAATTCTACGCAGAAATAGCAAAAAGTGTCGGCAGATTCAGTCTGACTCTACTTATAAGCACAAGTATAATGTACTTAATAATTGTACTTTCATATTTTGATTCTGACTGATTTTTAGTACTATATTAAGTATTGAATGATTTAAAAACTATTTGTATTTATGAGTAGTTGGTGGATTTTAAGATTAGTAAACGATTAATAAAATATTCAAATCAAAATGTATATTGTTCAAAATCTATGTATTATTCATGCATATTGTAATGGTTACTATGTATGTTAATAAATGCTTTATTACCACATTTATTAAAGTGATAACTATTTATACTTTTTAAATCACTTATAAACGAAAATAAAAGGTACCATATTGAATGAAAAATAAATATTTGCCTTCGTATCTAAAAAAAAATGACTGTACAATTGTACATTACTGTAAACAGCCAAATAAAAAATATAAACTTTTTTATCAGAAGAACAATAAAATAATATAATAATATAACAGTATAACACTATTAATTTCAGTGTTAATTAGTGATGTTTAAACTTTACAGTAATTTTATATTTAGATAAGATTTGCAAAGATTTATTTTGCATATTAGAGTTTTATTTGTGTATACTTATAAAGCATAAATTACAAAACTGCATGATGTTGTGTTAATAAAGCATTTATTGACATGCAGGGTAGCCATATGCCTAAATAGGGTATAACAATTTTTATTTGAATATTGCTAATCATAAACAAATTCTTTCTGATAAACTCATTTCCCACTATAAATATGCTTCTACATCAATAATACAGCATTTGTTGTTGAATTTATAAACTGCTTCGTAATGTCTTATAATGTAAAGTTAATGCCTAACAAACGTTAATCATACAATAATTAATTTAGTAATGAAAAATTATTCATTATGAAAGTATGTATGTACAATCATTAAAAACATTAAACATGTACAAGTCAATAATACAGCATTTGTAACGGTATTAATGAACTGCTTGCTAATGTCTTATAATGTAGTGTTAACAAATTATGAATCAAGTTAGCAATTTACTAGTAAAAATCTTTCAAGGTCCCTTTTTCTTTGTGTTTTCCCATTTCTAGGACTCACATGCAGAATATTAAAGATATTACAAGCAGCATCCATTACGAGATGTACCGCGTTCGCAGACTCAATGAGAATAACACCAAACCAAATGGACAACCAGCAATCCACACCAATGGTGTACCTGAGCATGAAGTTCTCTCCCATGAGATGTAAATGTCTCTAACTATATTTCAATACATCAGTCCGTCCATCTATCTATTTCTCTTCCTCAGTTCACTGTACTTTTTTCCATCTGCCCGTTTGTAATCTTTGACTGTTCTTTTATAACATCAAAAATTTCTGAGGATTTTTTTCTTTAGGTGTGTAGCAAAATGTAATGTTCTGTGATGAGAGTTTTATTATAGTGTTTTTATGGTAATTGTTAAGTGAGCTGGAGCAATGGCTTGTCAAGTTTAACATGCCATGATACTCAGCGTTGGATCGATCACCCAAAAAAATTATTATTATTATTATTTTATCTGTTAAACACAAAACAAAATGTTATGAAATGTACTGTTTGTTGTTGTTCTTTCCTATTGTGAAAGTCAGTGGTTACAGGTTTCCAAGATATTCAAAATAAAAAATCTAAATCCAGGGTGAGTAAAAGATAGTAAAACAGAATTGCCATTTTGGGTGAACTATCAATTTAAAGCTCTCACACATAATTATTACAGATAACACAGATGGTTTTGTGTTAAAACTGCAACTTGACAAAGAAAATGTAGCTGTTGCTTGTAGAATTGAGAAAACTTACAGTGTAAAATCCACCACCCCTATCAAGTTTTAGAGCATTTGAAATTTTCGAGTTGTCCAAATGTAAAGAGCAGGACTTTGGTTTACAGTATGTAGTCGCATGACAGGATGTATGATCCCGATTATGAGTGTTATATGGAAAAACATGAAAGTGTTGAAATATATGAAAGTGTTGTATAAATACCATTTAAACAGAGTGCAGACAGTTTGGTTTTACAATCTCCCTTTTCTGTAATAAATCAATCTTGTGGTGTATTATTACCCATTCTATAATTTCTGTCCTTGTTCCATTTTCAAAGAGCATATTTTATTTTATTATTAAGTGTCAATTTTTTGTAAAAGCCTATGTATGTGGAATCCATAGTTTTTTATTATTATTTGAAGAAAAGCAAACTTAGTTTAATTTGTGAACATTTATATATTTATAAATGGCATCATGTTACTTGGATGTTGTGGCTTTTGTAGGTAAAATGTAAAGAGTTCTAGAATTACCACAGTGACCCAAGCATCTGTACATCTGTGTTTTTCTCCATTCGTTTCTTTGCAGATATTAGTATTCAGTAAAGCAAGTCCTGAGCCATTCTAATCACTATCTGTGTTCTGTAATAGGCTGTATACAGTATGACCTTTATTTGTTTATATAGTGTTTCATGTTGTCACTGATTCTGAACAGTTTTGGATATTTTAGCCCCTCACAAAAGTTCATGGAGGATTTTGCATTATATAAAACAGAAAAAAGTCATGGATACACATTTATAAACAATTTGTGCAAATTAAGTGTCCAAAACTTGCATCAATGATCAATTAACAATATAGGCTAGCAGTAAATTGGCTGATTGAAATGATTGCTTAGCAATCATAATGTGTCCAGTATACATGCTGACATTTTTTATTATATAAGAAAATAAAATTTGGACACAATTTAGATTTTAGCCCATTTGCTTGCATAGTTTAATCTTACTTGGTTGTACATCTTATGCAGTTTTAACCTGATTTTAAAGATTCTTCTCTCAGGTTCCTATATTGATATGACTGTCAAAAAATACAATGTGTCAATGTGTATTTTGCAGCTGATATTAATGAAAATCTGTTACCAAGTTTCAAACAAACTAATATTCACATAATACTATTCAGCCAGTATTTTATGAAATGACATATGTATGCCCAGTATGGCCAAAGAAATTATATGTACACATTTTAAATAATTATTTTGTGAATATTGTACACCCATTGTATTTTGATGTAGTAAAGGTAAAATTTATATTACTGTAGATCTGGAAAAAAAAAATAAAGATTGCTATTTTTATTGTTGTAACCTTTGCATATGATTCTTTCTTAGTCTTAATAAAGATTTAAATGAACAAATATATTGTCTATAATATTATTATTTAATTTACAGTTTATTTAATTAAAACACAATTTACATTATTTAGGAGTATCACAAAATTAATATTAAAATGGGCAAGATTCTTCTCCTTCTTCTTATTTCAATGACTTTTATAAGGGTCCATTGACAAAATCACATTATGCCCAATTTTGACACATCATAGCGCCAAGTGTAAATTTTGTAGAAAACCCTAGCAATGCCTTAGCAATTGGCTGGCAACAGCTTTAGTGACCACTAAGAACACCCTAGCAATTCCCAAGTAATGACTTAGCAACTGCCTAGCAACCATTCAGAACACAGCCTAGCAACCACTTTGCAACACCCTAGCAACCACTTAGCAACACCTTAGCATGCACATAGTAACCACTCAAAGCACCCTAACAACCAACTAGCAACCTCCTAGCAGCATGTGAGAACACCCCAGCAACCACCTAACAACACCTTTGCAACCATCCTAAAATCAGATGGACAACATTGAGCAGACCTTCGACAAGTTCACAACATCCTGAGTGAGAACATACCTCGCAAGAGGTTATATGTTGTACCCCTGGGTTGCTAGAATGTCTCAAAGTACTCCTTCGGGAGGGGAACTTCAATACTATGTGGAAAACCAAAATGCTATGTTGAAAACTTCCACTATGGGGATTTTGTCAGAATCCAATCATCTGAAAGAGTATAGAAACAGGCCAATGTTAATGATTTGGTGGCATCAGCATGCACAGCTGGTGTCAATTACACTTAAACGAGTTATAAAGACGCAGCTCCTGCCATGCTAGACATCCTTTTCACTTTCAGAGCCATTTACAAAGCTTCTGAGAGAGTCTTTGAGGGTTTTCTCCAAGTGAATCTTCACAGAGAGACAGAACAGAAAGCAGGCTGCTTCTCGTGGTTCAGAGTGTTTGATGCGTGGCGGCAGACGGTCGAGCTGGGTTTCTCTCTTGTTTTCTTTGGGTCCGGTCCTCCCAAGCGGTAAGTTTTTCTAAAAGAGCAACACGGTTGTGCAGCCTTTTTTAAGATGTCGCTTTGACCGTGCGTTTCTGGATGCGGTGGTTTCCTGTCACCGGATGAAGGGCACGAGCACTGCGTTTCATGTCTGGGGGTCAAGCATGTTGATGCGGTGCTTACGACAGTGCATGCTATCATTGCGATGGCATGTTTGTTGCGTAGTTAAGATTGCGGCTCGCTCTTACAAAAGGGCGATCCATCCCAGTGTCATATTGAGAAGCAGACTTGATGGCCATGCTTTCCTGGGCTGCTTCGGCCGTAGGTCTTGTGATGGTTTATCCTCGAGCCCCACGGCCGGCTCAACTAAATGGGTGTTATGTGGAGGATGCTAAGAAGGCAAAAACTTCTAAGCCTCCTGTTTCCTTCTTTCTGAAAATGCACAGTAAGCTCACGCAGTCCTGGAGGGCACCTTTTTCTGCCCGATCTGCGTGCGCTTCCATCCTCACGATCCTTGGAGAGTGGGCTGTCAATGTCTGAGGGTTGAAATGAGGGTTGAAACCCCCTCTCTCCTTCTGGGGTAATGTTCTAGAAGCAGACTCGGTGGCCGTGCTTTCCCAGGCTGCTTTAGCTGTGGGCCTGGAGATGGTTTATCTCCCAGCCCCACGGCCAGACCGACTAAAGGGATATTATGTGGAGGATGTAAAGAAGGCAAAACCGTCTAAGCCCTCCGACCTCACCATGCATGCTATGGCCACCTACCAGCGCAGGGGCTGGCCCAGCTGCACGAGGATGGTTCCGACCCAGGACGAGCATGAGCTCCGCACTACAACCAACTATGTTCTGCGTACCACCAACTCGGCTGCGTGTGCCCTGGGAAGGATGATGGTCAAATTAGTGGTCCAGGGACGCCACCTCTGGCTAACCCTGGCTGATTCTTAACACACCCATATCCCAGACTGGCCTGTTCGGTGACACCGTAGATGAAATACCCAGGAATTAAAGCTGGTGAAGGAGCAGTCAGAAGCGATGGGATGAGGTCATCTATCGGCAGGATCGTAAGACCACTCCCCCTGCTGAGCCATCCACTGCTTTTCGGCGAGGGTGCTTGCCTGCAGCTTTTGCTCCGCTGATTGACCGAATTGCCTCCGGCCAAGCGACTGCATCGAGCATCTCGCAGACAACCAGCGCCACCATCTGAGACGGGCCATCTGGAGAAGAGGGAACTTGCTCTTTCCCCAGCATAGGGTGGGGCTTTCCATCTAATGGCATTAAAAAAAGAAAAAAAAAACGCCATCAAATGCTTAAAGGAAAAGCATTTCCCCCCCTTCCCTGGATGTGACAGCGCAAAAACGGCCAGTCTTAGACGCTATGCTTTTCAGCCTGCAGGATCGGTGCACTTCTCTAGTGGCTCGCAAGGAGTGGGAGGACAGTCTCCTTTCTCTCACACTTACAGCCCCTCCTCTGGAGTCTCGTCCGAGATAAGAGTGAATCTCTTGCCTCCTGCTCTCCCGTGGGACACTAGTGCTCCCCAGTTGAGCCCGCTCACTCCGCGCTGCCCCACGAATGGTATGTCAACAATCGTGCGAATAAAGCCACTTGCGAGGGATCTGCCTGCTTGGTTAGCGGGGGCCAGTCAGCCAATCTCAATGGCTTATTCGCGCGATTAGACTTGGCTATGTGGTTCAATACCCGAAACGGCCTTACAGGTTCACGGGTGTGTAATTAACCAGGGTCAGCCCTGTGTCCTCCCCTGTCTTGGGAGAGGGAAATGCGGTCCTCCTGGTGAAGGATGCAATCGAACCGGTGCCTCCAGCCAAGATAGAGAGTGGGTTTTAGAGCCCGTAATTCATCGTACCCAAAAAGAGCAATGGGCTATGGTCTTCACAAGCTGTCATTCAGAATGCTTATGCAGAAGTGCATCTGGTGCGATCATCCTCAGAATTGGTCTGGAGCAGTAGACCTGAAGGACACCTATTTCAAGGACTTTCATGTTTCTATACTTCCACGCCATGCCAATTTCTGCAGTTTGCGTTAGAACGTTGAGTCTGGCAGTACAAGTCCTCCCCTTTAGGCTCTCTCCATCTCTGCAGGTTTTCACCAAGCTTGCAGAGGGTGCCCCAGTGCCCCTTCGGTGAGTGGGCATCTGCATACTCAATTATCTCAACAACTGGCTTGGATTTCAGCACACTCACAAGATCAACTGAATATGCACAGAGACAGAGTGCTTTGGCATTTCAACCTATTGGGGCTTCAGGTCAACCAAGAAAAGAGCAGGCTTGCCCCCGTACAGAGCAACTCTTTTCTCAGGTTGGAGCTGGACTCGATCACCATGACGGCACACTTGCCCAGAGAGCGCGTTGAGCTAATGTTGACCTTCTCTGAGAGAGCTTGACAGGAAAACTGTGGTTCCACTGATATTATTTCAAAGGCTCCTGGAGCATATGACACCTGCAGCTGCTCTCTCGCCATTCGGGTGCTTCATATGAGATTGCTTAAGCATCGACTTCACGATTGTGTCCCA